GGCACGCTGCTCTCCCGCTGTACCGGCATGCTGCTCTCCCACTGTACCGGCACGCTGCTCTCCCGCTGTACCGGCATGCTGCTCTCCCACTGTACCGGCACGCTGCTCTCCCGCTGTACTGGCGTGTGCTGTGTTCATGAGCAGTACTGAAATGCGTCTCTCTCGCGTGAATCCTTGCCACCCTCCTGGCTATCAGGTCCCGAAAACCCCTGGCTGGTGCAGGCTTACGTCCGCGCGGCCAAGCACCCCTTCGCCTCCGTGGTCGGCCAGGAGGTCTTCCAAAGTGGCATCATCCCGTCGGACACAGATTTTCGGATTTACCGAGACTTTGGGAATATTCCAGGTGATCATTTCACTCACTCACTTTTTAACCACCTTCAAAGAAGTCCCTTGAATTTGATTTACTTCCTAGAATTTATCTTGCCTGTTTATAAATGTAAAGTATAATTTTGAAATATAAGTATGTATTTGGTAAATAAGATTTGTGAAAGAAAGCATTAACCACTCGTTTTTAAAATTAAGGAGGATTTTGAGTTATATACCAGAAATGATATTTATCGTTTCAGCAGATCAGCACATATCGTTCTTTAGGCTCGCACCTCCTGCCCCCCCCCCTTTCCTTGTCGGCATGTCTCTCTGTTTCACCTGCTTGGATTAATTTAATTGGAGCTGATGTCCCTCTGCAGGTATCGACCTGGCCTTCATCGAGAACGGTTACATTTACCATACTAAGTACGATACCCCAGACAGGATTCTGACAGACTCCATACAGCGCGCTGGTATGTTCCTTAAATGCTCCCTGACAGCAGCTGATTGGTCTGCTTGCATGCATATATTCATTATGGTAGATGGAAGTTATTTACAGTGGGTCAGGCAACTCAAATGTCAGTTGGCTTTGTCTGCTGTAAGGATTAACTTAGAGGGATGTGTCCACTCCCTTCCACTCATCTGGCAATAAGTAACTTTATTAGTATATTTATTTAAATGAATTTGGTTTGATATCCTCTTGCTTCGGTCCCCAAGGTGATAACATCCTCGCTGTACTAAAACATCTGGCCATGTCTGAGAAGCTGGCAGACTCGTCAGAGTATCGCCATGGCAACATGGTGTTTTTTGACCTCCTGGGTGTGTTCATGGTGGCCTACCCGGCCCGCGTCGGCACCATAATCAACTACATGACGGCAGTGGTGGCCTTCTTCTATTTGGGAAAGCGCTGTTCGCTGCCCAGCAATGGCGGTAAGTACACAGGCAGTGTTCCGCTCCCTGGGAGCTGCTGACTCCTCGGTCAGCGCGTCTTCGTTCCATCATAAGCAACCTTACAAATTGAGGGTCCCGCGTTGCCAAAGACTCCTTGAGTTTTGAAGGTCAAATGCGATCGGTCTGGCTGAGAGACTCTTTCTTTGTTCCCGACAGGTGGCCGATATGTCCGTGAACTGGCATACGCCACTGGAGTGACCATCATTAGCTGGTTTGTCACCATGCTGTCCGTGCTCATTGTGGCACTGCTGGTGACCCTGTTGGGCCAGTCCATGTTCTGGTACAACCATTTCTACATGTCGATTATTCTCTACGGCTCCGCCGCCATCGGAAAGCTCATTCTCGTCCACACTCTGGCTAAGAACTTATATTATGGGGTCAGTACTTCATTATATTTGGCATAAAACCTGACGCTCTTTCAACTGTAACATATTCAAAGAGACATGATTTAGCAGTTATTTTATAGGAGCCAATTCTGCAGGCTTAGGGTTTTGAGATGTTTCCAGCATATTTTTGCCTCTAGAAATGTTTTTTTTTTTTTGTCATTTTTGTCACTCATTCCGTTCAACATTTTTCTCATTGACAGCAGCAAGCAATTTATAATTGGTGTTGGTTTGCAAAACATTTCCATTAATATATATATATATATATATTTTAATTTTTAAACTGAAGTCTTTTAGTGTCAGACGTTGATCATTTGCAACAGAGTTATGGTTAAAAATAAATAAATAAATTATCTGCAGATTTTTGTCTCCATGAATTGGACAACCAAGGTTTTTCTTTACAAAAGTGCTCACAAATTCGGGTTTACGCCTGTACAGGAGCAGCTTATGTGGGGTGGAGTTAATGGTTCTTCAAGCTGCCGCAACATCTGAGAAAACTTTCATTTTCTGAGCTGGCATCTATATATCTGGGGGCTGTTCCACAAAAAAGGAGTTCATGCTTAGCCATCTAACTTATCGGACTTAAGGTGGTCTGGGCTAAATGAACTTTATCGCCGTTCACTCGCATTTAGCTCAGAATACCTTAAATCCAGTTAAGCAAGAAATGCTGCTTCAAGGAACACCCCCATGGTATAAGTTGCAACAAAAACAAGGATTTTAATCAATTCCTTCTGGTGCCACTAGGAGGTCTAAATCCGGCTGCCAAAGAAAGACTTTCCAAAGTGTTGCCCTTGCTTGTCATTCCTCACACAGGTTCAGACGGCAGGCCCAGTTCCACAGCTCGCCTTTTGGCGGCCTGGATATGCTTGCTCACCTCGGCAGGCCTATGGCTTTGTGTATCTCCACTCCTTATCAAGTTGGTTATTAACTCCATTCCTTGTATTTACAGCAGGACTAAACAAATTACAGCCTGATTATAGGTCAAAGGATGTTGCTACAGAAACCAGGCCATTGAACGATCAGCAAAACAGAAGTTAGCTTTTCCACTCGTTCTTTGAACGTAATTCAGAGCTTTATTTGGTGTTCGTTTGTTTACATGGTGCACAATTAACAGTGGATATTTTGTGATTTGTGCCCATTCTGCACGTGTTTTTCTTTATATATTTTTTTTAAATAAAACCTTTAGTCTATCACTTTTTCTATCTATCTATCTATCTATCTATCTATCTCACTTTTTCTATCTATCATGTTTTCTACCTATCTGTCACGTTTTCTATCTATCTGGCAGATTTCTTAAAAAGAGGAAAAAATGACATATGCATATATACTGTCACTGTGTGCATATATATAAATGAATGATACAGTACTGGTCCTAGCCCATGTGGTGCCCTAGGCGGGAATCATCCAAGGCAAAGTAAAATTGGCTGACAAGTCGGCGCCCTAGGCAGCGGCCTATGTCACCTATGGAATTGACCGGCCCTGGAATGATGAAGTATATGAAAGGGTTTGGACGCAAGTTCCATTCCTTAGTTACAAAGCTTCTTGTTCCCCAAATACTAGCAGTGGTCCGAACAGGGCAGCAAGAAGTGTCCTTAAGGATGTGGATGACTTGATGGTTACCAGTAGCACATATTGAGTATGATTTGCTCCAGTAAAAATTTACAGCTATTTAGTACAATCATATAGTTTTTTCCCAACCCGGTCCTTGGGGACACACAGTTGGTCCACATTTTTGCTCCCTGCCAGTCAGTCCACTTTTTTGCTCCTAAGCAAAGCAAAAATATGGACTGTCTGTGGGACAGAGTGGTATGTAGAGCGCTCCTCCTGTAGTAACGTAACATGCATGCGCTGTGCCCTACAGAACGTTCGGCGCCTGGAGCTCGGAGAGCTCTTTTTTGACGTTAACCTGCTGCTGTGGTGCTGTGCCCTGGTGTCCCTCAGCCAGCAGGGCCTCTGCTCGGCCTACGTGCCGCTGCTCATGGTGGCCTTCCCGCTGGCCGTCAAAATGATGCTGACTGCAGAGTTCAGGCGGAGAGGTGAGATATTCCGGCGCCCCCCTTCGCTCTCCTGTTTTCAACACTCATCTGTTCCATGGGCTGCATCAGTATGTCAGTCACCATTGTGTTAGTCATTCTTCTAGTCTTCATGCTTGCTTTTTTTTTATGGAAAAGGGCGGTTATATAGCCAAGGTGCCCAGCCCATGTCCTGAGCTCTGCAGTTTTTCACTCAGCCAGATTGGTGAAATAATTTTTTTTTGCAAATAAATCAAATCTTCAGGGACCAGTAGGGACCAGTCAGGTACTAAAAAAAGTGTATACTTTGAAACTGGGGAGACCTCCTTCCCACCTCTGTCGTACTTTTATTGTTATAATGACCCCTTGTGGAGTCCGGTGATCTCGTAACGGTTATCAGTAATTCACCTGACACTGCATCCTGCTGAAATGTTCTATTCAAGGAGCGTCACTGAAGTACTCCGTGCTGTACCTGCTGGGCCTGGCACTGCCATACTTGCACAGCGCCTTCCTCATCTGGGTAGTGTTTGAGATCTTCACCCCGATTCTGGGACGTAGTGGCACAGAAATACCCCCCGATGTAATTCTGGCTGCCCTTATCACTCTCGGCTCCATTTTCCTGTTCTCGTATTTGGTGAGTGTTGTGGCGCGACCTCGCATTAGCATGATGACTGAGGCCGCCTCTGTGTTCTTCTTCAACGTTCTCTCACGCAGCTCACTGGTTTCTAGTAGACCTTTCTAGAATGTTTTCATTGCTCTTGTCTTCGCAGCTTCATTTCATCTACTTGGCCAAGAGCACCAAGTGGATTTTGTCCTCCCTAGGAACCATCTTTATTGTCATGCTCATACTGGTTTCTTGCGGCGTGTTCTTCCCATACACGGCGAATCCGGCTAGTCCACGACCCAAAAGGGTCTTTGTCCAGGTAGGAATAACAAAACAAAACAAACTCAACGCTGGAAGCAATACTCAGCATAGGAGTTAGCTAGGTGTGCATGCAAATCTGTCAATAACAACAAAATTCCTACAAATCTTCTTCAGATGAAAGGCCATTGAGAATGTAGCTTTCAGTGTTTTGCGTGAATGTGACCTTCGGACTAAATTGCTGTCCTTCAGCACACCACCCGCACTTTTCATGGACTCAACGGAGAGGTGGAGGGGAAGGACTCTGGCCTTTGGATTAACAGCTTTGACTACACTGGCATGCGCTACATCACGCCACATATACCAGAGATCAACGACACGGTGCGCATAAAATGCCAGGAGCAGCTGCCCTTTTGCGGATACCCGTGGTTCCTGCCTGTAAAATTCTTAGTCAAGTAAGCCACCATATTGCCTGTGTTGGCTGTCTGAGTCTTGGTTTTTTTTTTTTCCCCCCAACAGATATGGAACTATCATGCACACTGCCTATGTAACTGAACGACTAGTGAGATGATTTTCTGAGAGACGCTGGCAAAGCAACAGATCTGACAGCTTCTCATTTAGTGTATTTGTTGATGTGCCTTTTTCTCTTCTCGCTATGTCTCTAGGAAAAATTGGTATGTCCCAGCTCCCGACGTGACACCAAAATCACCTGTAGAGTTCAAATTGGTCTCCAAGCAAGAGACAGAATGGGGAACAACAAAATTGTCTTTTGAAGTTAAAGGTACACAACCTTGTCATATAATCGAGAACCAAACTACTCGTGCTATTCATGCATGTAGTCTGCCTGTCCCCTTCTTAAGGGCAGGTAATTAAAGCGTTTATCTGCCAGGTAAGGTGACACATGAACACAGCGGTGACTGTCTTCCTGACTGCAGGACCCAGCCACATGTCCCTCTACCTCAAGCCTCATGCCAACACGCTCTTGTCCAGCTGGTCTTTCGGCAATGGCACCCCACAGTTTGACCTTAATGGAGAGTATTTCATCTTCTACTCCCACGGTCTTGATGCCCCAGCTTGGAACTTCTGGCTTGAAATACAGGTAGATCTTTTTTTATTTGTCTGTCTCTCCTACCAAAGTTATATGTTGGATGACGATTTCTGTATGCAGAAAGCAAGTCTTTTAATCGCTTAGGTAGACTTCTTGACATTGGCTATATTTACAGTAGCTGAATTTGCACTGATGTTAACGCAGAATTTCAGCTCACGTGTTTTTTCAAGCCCGCAAAATATGTAACTATGACTTTCACCAGAGTACCTCCCCTGAACACCCCTCTGAGTCAGAAGAAATGATCTTGCTGGCAATTGCATCGCACTACATTTTTGGGGAAGACCACAAGACACCGGGGCTGAGTGATCTGCTTAGGAGGTTCCCTGCCTGGGTCTTCGCCTCGTCTTGGGTCAGCACGTACGACATGTACAGATTCTGAACTCCTGTGACATGCACCACTCCCCTCCCTATACATACATCTTCCACTGCTGCTCAGTTAAAGGGAGCCCCCTCCTCCCTCAGTCTATCTATTCATTTGTAATAATGTTGAGTCTTCAACACCAAGGCAAAGTAATCTTATTTATAAGACTAACAGATAGCAATCACCTGTTTGGTTTATCATTTAGCCCCCGAGTCCTCTTGATGGTCAGATATAGCATAGCATGGTTTCTCTTGCATGTCTACCTCTCTTCATCTGTGTCCGCATGCAGTAGAAGATGTAGCTGCTGTTCATTTTTAAATGGCAATGGCTCACCTCTTCAGTGGCGGGGTCTCGTTTTTCAAGCCTACAGCAATTCTTAAAGAAATTAAGGTCTTAATTTATCGCTTTTTTTTTTTTTTTTAATTTGATGTGAGGATGCAGTTTTTGAGCATCACCCAGGACCGATATTGATTGTTTTTATTGAAATTCTTAAAGATGATAAGAATCTGTTATAAGCTTAAGGATTTTTATTCTGGCAATGGCAAAGTTGGTCGTAGAGCAGCGATTTATACTTTTTATACAGTTAAAGCTTCTTCACCACTAGAAGTGAAGAACGTTCTTGCCAACATCAATTGATTGTGAACTGACTGAGGCCTCATTAACGCAAAGCATTATAAGGGAAATGCGCTGGATGCCACGTCATATGTGTATGGCAGTACTTCATGTGAAATGGGAAGTCTGTTTCAGCAAAGCGGTGGCCTCCCGACTGACTCTGAGGCTGGGGGTGCTAAAGCTAGATTTCCTAGACAGCATCTAGGGAGTCAAACAGTTCAGATTCGGTCTGACCTCCGGGAAAAGCTGAGAGCTGGAAATGCTCGGGGCCACTGTTTCCGTCTCGTGTGCCCTTCTCCAAAGGCCTCCTCAGCACCACGAACCGAGGACTACCTGAAAGCCAAACCAAGCAGCAATAGTTCACAAAGAAGGTATTGATATTTTTTGTTTATAAAGCACTCCCTTCCTGCTTAACTTGACTTAGATGGTGAACTTGAGGGTGGAAAGGTTGAAAAATTTGTGTTTTGCTCTTTGTGTTCCTCAGGAACCAGTTTTTCAGTATGTCACCTTTTTAGGTTGATTTTTAGGTTCTGTGTATATATTTTGTCAGATGCCCAGGTCCCTCTGATGCCCAGGTGCCTGTGTTTTTGGTTCTTCACTGTTCTAACTGGTATAGGTAAATGGTTTGTCACAATTCATAGGCACCTAAAACAATATTAGTCCTAACACAGTTGCTGTCCTGTATTTAATTAAAATTACAGTATTTATCCTAACTATGCAAATGATCAGTCAGATTTTGGAGTTTGAGGTAACCAGCCAGTGCAAGATGGGCAATGTACAGATACACTGTATGGCTAAAAGTATGTGGACGCCCCTTTTAATTAATTAGAGGAATTGCCTAATGAAGCCACATTCTACTTGGAAACATTATAGGATGATATCTGTCCAACAAGTCAGTTTCTGTCCTGGTCAATTACAAATGAAGTGATTGTGAAGATCATAATATCTGGGAGCAATTTAATTTCAAAGTGTTTGGCTACTCAAGCTCACAGAAAGGAACCAGGTATCCCAACATCAATACGCAACTTAAATGGCAGCAAATCCCACTAGCAACGTTCTGTGTTACTGAAAGCTGTCCCAGAAGAGCAGAGACTATAACAGCAAGATAGCATGGGACCAACTTCATATTAAAATCCTTGGTTTTGGAATGATGTTGGTGACAAACCAATGTCCACATACTTTGGGCATATAGTGTAGGAGCCTAATTACATTCATTGGGGACTGATATGTACTTGGTTACTTAAAACAAAAATAAACCTCATGAAGATTAAAAAACAAAATATGACCATTTGTTCCCACATTGTATGCATTGCCCTTGGCTAATACGTGCCATACCTTAAAAGGTCAAACTATACTTGATGGCAATGTTATTAAAAAAAACACAGGTATTATACTCCAGCTTATTTCATTAAATGTTAGAAATATGATTTTATATGTTGTAAAATAGAAGTTCAAGCCTCCAGCACATCATCTGTTACTGCACTTACAATGCAATATCCCAACTACATTATGCATATTTAATAAAATTAAGAAATTTATGCAATAAACCTCAATCAATAGAGGAAGAAGTAATGGATAACTCATTGGTGTTTTTCATAAAACTCAGCAACATTAATTGGCTTGCAATTTTAAATGTATTTTATCTTTTTAATGAGTAATAATGTCTGGCAACAAAGGAACTAGTCATCAGAATGTTTGATATAATGGCACTAATCACTTTATCAAACCCATTATTTCAGTTTATTTAATAATTAAGTTGAATTGTATTTTAATTAAAAATGATTTTATTGAAAAATTACATTTGATTTGTTGAACTCCATACTCAGAGGTCAATACACACTGGTTCACTGATTGTAGCGGATTCTGAGTGTGGATGACTATGCTGGATTAAGTTAACACTGTGAAATTACTTATTCTCTCACTTGGAAATATTTTTTCCCCCAAGGTGAAAGTTTTAATGTCACATGTCTTTATTTGTCAACAATGTTAAACTTTCCTTGAGAGCCCGGTTTAACACGTGATAAAAGCTAAAGCTTCAGTTTCACAGGTGTGCTGCAGGGTTGTGATGCCTCTCTAAGAAACGCCACCGCATGTACAGATGGTAAACTGGTACCAAAGGATAGTAACTCAAGTTAAGGATTTAAACTTGCATGCATAAGTTTGAAAATTAGTTTGTGTAAAATCTCATTAGTTTAATGTACCTACTATTGCAATTTGAAATGAAAGCAATACTGGAAATCATTGGTCATAATCAGGGCAAAATCGCCCCCCACTAAATGTCAGTCATGCACTTACACCTTTCTGCTCTCAATGTATCACAATATCCTGATTAAATAAAATGTGGTTTGGAATTATAAAAGCAGAGTACTGAAATATTTGCTTAAATTTCATGCACAGAAAAGCAGGATAGAGCATGTAAAGACAGAACTGGCCTGGTACCAATTCCACACAGTCCTAGAGACAGGAATGCTGCTGCTTACTTAACACTAAAACGTACCTCAAACACACAGGTCAGGGGCAGCCAGTCTTATCCACGATGGGCCGGTGTGTGTGCGGGGATTTGGGGTAACCTTTAGGTCAGCTGCTCAAACCCAGGTGTGAGGACTCTTCAGCCAATCAGTCCTCTAATTAGCAATCTAATTACTAATGAGTTCAATTGGCCTCAAGGGGTTAAGTGGAAAATTGGTAAATGGCTACAAGGCTGGGGTTCACCCTGGACAGGATGCCTGTCCATCAGAGGGCCGGGATTCACCCGGGACAGGATGCCTGTCCATCACAGGCCACACACAATCTAAAATTGCATTCAAGAAGCTGAAATGCCTAGACACACACACACAGAAAATGCTAGAAGTGTAAAATAACAGTGCAATGTACTACATTTCCTGCCATTCTTCGACGACAGCCTTAAGTTATAATGTAAAGTACATGCAACTGAAATAAAAAAAAATCATACCACAAATGCTTTAAAAATAATTTATTGCTCCTTATATACAGGAAAATAGAAAAACAGGAAGTAGAAAAAATTATTGTACAAGAATCCATATTTATACACTGCATTGTCATTGGCTTTATGACCCAAGACTTCCCAGCCCAGCGATTAAACTGTACACAGAAAGATAAATTAGTTTGCTCCACATTCAAATGTACAAAAGCAAAGCCTCCTTCCCAAACACCTCTCATATCTCTCCAAGTATCCTTAGTTTTCTGCATCATTTGACCTCGGATGGAACAATGACTATGCAGAAGATGGGACAGTCCGTTTGCAAGGTTCTGGTCACCTGAGCGCAGGTAACACCGGACAGCTCCTCGCATCCATGGCCCTTCACATTCACGCACAGACGATGATCTCACAGGAACATTTACAGAAGGCGCCAGATCATCTTTGGTTCGCAAAGTATCATACGTAAACTCATTACACAGTTCAACTGCCTCAGAGTATCATCACCATGGAAACATACAAACTTTAGCTGTGTATGTGTGTATATGGACACACACACACACACACACAGCACATGAGGTGAGGAACATACAGCGATCATCAGAACCATCCAATCCATGCTAAATGTATTCAACGTCATGCACAGAAAGCTTAATATCACCCCCACACATGCACTTAAAATGGCAAAAATTAAACAAAAAAAAAATGTAAGGGAGTTATTTTTTAACACTCAGTGGAGTATTAAGCTTGTGGAGAGGAAAGTAAAAAAACATTATAATAATAAAATATATTTTTAAAATCCAAACATCAATACTAAAGTTTTGGTCCTTGTCAAGGTAGCAGAAAAGGGAAAAAAAATGTTTTAAATAAAGCTGATTAATATACCTATATTTTTGCAAGGATTTATATCATAAGTTTACAAAGGCTGAGTATCACTTTAATACTGTTTAAGGTAAAACTATTAGAGAATGGGAAAGTTATTGTACATTAACTCTGCCAAAGTCTAAAGCATGCGCTCCTAATATGAAGCAAACGGCACAAGGTTAGCTGGTTTACCCCACGCCACCTCAGCAATGAAAGGTCATGCTGCCATGGCAACTGAAGGCTCTCTTTCCATTGGTAAACCCTTTGTGAATGATGATTTGAATTACTGCCTCCTGGGCTTACAAATTAAATAAAACATTGAATGTTTAAAACTTTCAGGCATAAACACAAATACAAGGATGAAATTAATACAGAAATTCTGACAATAACAACAAAGCTGAAGTTAGCAAGAATAGCAAGCATTGTTGAAATTAACACCAATTTTCCCTAGTTCCCAGTCCCAAACAGGGGTTTGGCTCGACAGACACACAAACGTTCCACTGATATGTGCAAGAGAATTTGTAAAGATGCAACACAAGCTAGCTGGAGCTCACTAACGCTTTAGCAGACTGTGATGTTTTATCATCACGCTGTAATGGGTGACGCACATCTCCCTTGCTTTGAGGCGACACCATCCTCCCCACATGCTAACTCTCCTTCCAAAGCACCACCAGCATCCATCAGGCTGTGCTTCTCAGGCGTACACATCTGACTGGGAGGTAACTGGTCTTCTCCAAGGAAATGTTTTCATTCTCAGCAGCATTTTATCAGTCAACCACTTAAGTAAAATGCAAAGGAGGAAGATGGGGGGGGGGGGGAGGGGATTAAAACAGTCTCTCCTTAAGTCTGCAGTCACTGCTCATATGCCTGAACATGTAGCTTTGTAAGTAAGTAAAACTTAAGTGGTGACTGGGAGGTTTTTTCGTAAGTAAGGTTTGTCCTAACAGTTCACCGTGGGTTTCTGCTTGCCTTCAATCTCGAACCATGCAACATGAATGTGGAGGTAGAACAATGGTAGCACTCAGCACGCTGCTAAATGCTCATTTCCTGTCACAACCCCCAGTCTTCCTTTACATGTTGTGAAAATGAAGGTCAGGCTGGGTCTCTAAGCCGTGATGAATATGATAAAATTACCGCTTTTTAGGGCCATGGGGAAAGACACTAACGTTTTATTTTTTGCAGTGATTTGACAGATAACATCAGAGTTCAAAACTCGAAACGCTGACAAGCGAATCGCCTTCACTGAAAGTAAAGCGTTGCTTCTAAGGGATTTAAACTGTGGAAATACGTCACAGCAAATTTTTTTAATGAAGACGATCAATTTACTATAACTACTGCCTAATTGTAGAGTGTATTTTTAAAATAACACTTAGACACATGACTGCGTTTCCACATTTTTGCCATTTGTTCAGTTTTTTTTTTTTTTTTTTACTTGAGTATTACTGAATACCAATTGAACAGCCATTACAAAGCAAAGTAATATATGACAATATTACTGAATGTAATAGGCTGATTGTGTGTAAACTTTCTTTAATTTACCATTATATTCTTTTTATGTAGCTACTAACTCCATATTGCTAGGTCTTCAAAATCACTTTAGAATATGGGAGATGGAAGTGTGAACCCCACGCCCTGCAGCAAACCAGGCCACATCTCAAACGAGAATCGTTTGCTGCGGATTTATCCACCACATTCAGAGCGAGTCGAAAAATCCAAATATATTAAAAAAGTCCTGTATATGACATAGAATTACTTAAATGTTTCTGTACATCAGTATTCACAAAAGTACAGTACACCATGTATATGTACATTATATAAAAGATTCATGGGAGTTAAATCCCAATAAAAGTGTAAATAGCCACTCATGATCATCCTCCAAAGACTCAAATTATCTGGACAGTTTCTGAGAAAGCAGTCAAACCAGAGAGGCAAGGTGTCGAAAATAACCCACGTACCTTTATACCTGCACTTCTCTTTGGGAATAACCTAAACTAAACACACCTTCGCTTGACAACCAAAACGCAACGTTAAAAACCCATCTGTGCATTGTGCTCATCATATCCACCTAGGCCAGAATGCCAGGAACAAACCATCGGGGGAATTCAGTGTAAAGATGCAGTGTCTGGATGGGTTACCTTTCCAAAAGCATGATTCCTGCCGTCCCAGTACACTGCCCACTTATGAATACAACGAAGATTATAATAGTTATCTATTGCCCAACCCAATTGAATCAGTGTCAAAGGTTTCATATCGATGTGCAGGGTGTATTTCACTGAAAGATAATACTGACAACATGACCATAAAAACCACAAGCATTACCACATGCTTGGAGACGTCCAAGAGCCCTAATGCTGTGTATTTATACAGACTATCAGCGAATGGGCTGCCTTCCTCTACTTACGATTATGCAGCTTGAAGGCAGACACGCATAACCTGAGCAGCAGAAGGATGACATTAAATGCCCTGGGCTCACGGTGGCATTGTCCTGATTCTCATCATTCGTTGGTGGCACCTCCTGGCTTCTCCAAGAAGCCACGTCAGGACAAGGTGCAGTCGTATGCCCCCTCCTCCACAGCCTTCTCCTCCTGCTCCTGCACAGGACAATCCTCAGCAGGTCGCACCGAGCCACCGGGGGCCTCTGTGGGCAGGCTGGTGCCCAGGGGGGCTACCCCACGGCTGTCCTCTGCCCTGGGGCTCGCCGGCTCCATCAGCTTGGAGGTGCTGGCAGGCTGGAAGGCCTCTGGCTGGACAGGGTCTGCAGCAGCGCTCACCAGCTTCTGCAGCTGGGGCCGGATCAGGTTGAGGAAGGGCTTGTAGCCAAGGCTGCAGGTTAAGGTTAAGCGGAAGAGAAAACGCAGGACACGCGTCATAGGTAGGGACATTCCCAAATATTAATACATCAGCATATTTGGTCCGTCCACAATACTTGTATTAAGGTTTCCTTTGTTACTTTTTTCCCCTTTTCATCCACTTCATTTTCCAATTTGCTTTCCCTCACATTAGCAAGCAGGTACGGCAGGGCTGGGGGGCCGGTATACAGCCATGACTGCAGTCAGTCTACTGTTACAGCTGGAGGAATTAACACAAAAAGTCAGTCTACTGTTACAGCTGGAGGAATTAACACAAAAAGAAGCGCCTAACAGAGGGAACCAGAGAGGACAGAGAGGGGTCAGCGAGTGGCTTGCTCACACACTGTTTTTCAGCGATATTATAGTTTACCTGACAGTGGCGTGTCATAGGGTAAGTGCTGCATATTAATATTGCTTAGGATTTTCCATCAGGTGGGTCCATTTGGAGCAGACAGCAAAGCAGAGTCGATACGGCTGTTTTCAGCTGTCATCATCGTATTGCAAGTGTTTTTACAATCTTCTACTAACATTAGCTCTTCTAAAATGCCTAGTGTTACATTTGAGTTCTACTTTCCCTTGTTGAAAAATGCTTCTGTCTATTTACTTCAAATGTAGCATGTATGGTTTTTTTGGGCCTCGCTTTTGTTACTGCGCTGCATCTGCAGCACGTGAGCATGAAGGCGAGCAGATATCTAGTCAGCCAGTTCA